TGTCTGTGACTGTGTGTGTGTGTCCCTGACGTGTGTGTGTGTCTGTGACGTGTGTGTGTCTGTGACTGTGTGTGTGTGTCTGTGACGTGTGTGTGGCTGTGTGTGTATGTGTGTGTGTGTCTGTGACTGTGTGTGTGTGTGTGTATGTGTGTATGTCTGTGACTATGTCTGTGACTGTGTGTGTATGTGTGTGTGTGTCTGTGACTGTGTGTGTGTGTGTATGTGATGTGTGTGTGTGTCTGTGACTGTGTCTGTGACTGTGTGTGTGTGTGTGTATGTATGTGTGTCTGTGACTGTGTGTGTGTGTGACTGTGTCTGTGACTGTCTGTGACTGTGTGTGGTACGTGTGTGCAGTTGTGCTATGACCCAAATGTGGCTGTCAGGACGATCTGCGGGAGTTGTTTATCTTCTCTCCGTCACAGGGTCCCAGGGCAGCCACTCGGGTCATCAGACTCAGTGACAGGCATCTTCAGCCACTGAGCATCTCGCCAGCCCTTGGGTTCTTACATTTGCACTTGCGCATCTGGAAAGTAACAACGAGGCTTTCCTTCTGTTCCTTAACAGCCGCCCCTTCCACCGCGGGGCCAGCCAGGGTACACGGCTCGGTGAACAGCTCGAGTGTCCTGCGAGGACAAGGCAGAGCCGAGCGGCCCGGGCTAGCCCTCTCCACTGTGCTTTCCTCCTGCTGGCGGATGGCGCTAACCCTCGCTTGGCGGCTTTGACACTGGGGAGCTTCAGAGGGCAGGACCATAATTTCTGTGTGAAGCCTGGGAAGGTGACAGTGGCTGTGCGATGTCACACAAGGGCAGGAAATCTATTACACCAGGTAGTAAAGATGAGGTTTATGCCAATTTCGGAACTTTTCTCCCCCCACCCCCATCCCCAGAATGTATTTGCTGCAGTTGGAAGGGGGTTATATGTGTATAACCTACAGCTGAGGCGTGTGATTGCCTGCCAGAGAACTGCACATGATTCCAGCGTCCTCCACATCGACAGACTTCCAAACAGGTACACGCTCCCATCTCTTCTGCAAAGATGGATGTCACGGCTCCTACGGTCACAGGCATCATTTCTGCAGTGGCTCCGTGGCTTGACCTTGGCATTCTTTCGCCAATAGGAATGTTCCATGACTGACTGTAATTGAAGAGTTTGTAGCGATATATGACAAAAGTTTACCGGAACATGGTTAAGTGAATCACGCTGAATTTTTTTCTAAGAAAGATTTATTTAAAATTGTTACTTAAAAAGTTAAAAGATCTGGATCACTTACAACGTACTATTTTTTCTTTTTATATTTTCTATAAGCTCATTTCTTTTTATGGTGGTGTATGTTTATGGACAAAACCAGATACAGTCTGAGGCCACTTAGCGAGGGTTGATTTGGCAGCTAAGGTTCTATTGATGAAATCACTGTCCTTGCGGATGTATTTAGCATGAGAGGCGCTGTGGAAAGAGAGGTCCCAGGAGGAGGGAAGGGACTGCTCAGGACATTGTGTAGTTGGCCAGTGCTTCCAGGTCACAGGGTGTGACGTGTGATGGTGAGCCTCGCCAAGCTGGTGAAAGCTCCACTGCCCCCAGCAGTCGGCACTTGGCCTTCCCAGGTGCTCTGCCTTTGTTCTTTTTCTGGCCTTTCGTTCCGACAGGCAGTTAATCTCATGCTCAGAAGATGGCAGCGTCCGCATTTGGGAGGTCAGAGAAAAGCAGCAGCTGGCAGCAGAACCTGTCCCTACAGGTGGGTGCATCCTCCACAGAAGCAGTGCTGGTCCTCTCCTCCTCCTTCCTTCTCCCGCCCTCCTCTTTTCTCTCCCCCCTTTCTGTGCTCCTTCCTTTTTGTCTCAGCTGACAGGAAAATGAAAGGTGGTACCGAGGAACCGCAGGAATGCCCTCCTGGAGGCTTCAGACATTCACAGGCAGCCTTGGCCACTGCTTCAGTTTGGGGTCACATCTAGTTCTTGGCCCAGTGTAAAACTGTCTATTTCAGCTGAAGCCAGTTGCAATTTTATTATTCTGAGAGACAACTGTGACTTACAAGTAATCTGAATGACCAGGTAGCGCGTGCGCGCGCGTGCGCACACACACACACACACACACACACACACACACACACAGATTTTCCCATGTTTTGTTGATGTGTCTGAAGAGCTCTTCACCACTGATTTCTGATGATTGTATATAACCTTTAAGGTGTTCTCTTCTCTGACATTTCAGTGTCTGTTTTCTTGCCATTAGTGGATGAATAGGGGCAGTAGAAAAGATAAGGAGATGGATGAGTTAGGAAAAGCACAACATCATATATTCACAGATCCTAGTAGTGTCTGTGCAATCAGCTTAGCCCTTGACCAACTAAGTATAAGACGTGGTTGTATTTAAATTTTCTGTCTTTCTGTAAGGAAAAAGCATGACCATTTTTTAAATGGCTGAAATAGTTGTCTCTTGTAGGATTTTTTAATATGTGGGGATTTGGAAGAGTGAACAAACAAGCCAAGCAGCCTGTTAAAAAGCAGCAAGAAAATGGCACTACGTCTTCCCTGGAGCTCATTGGAGATTTGCTTGGACACTCATCCTCCGTGGAGGTACCACTTTCAGTAGGCATGCAGTCCAGGCAGTTCCTGCTTTTGCGTCATGCTTCTTTTTTTAATTCAGTTGTTCTAAATAAGACCCACCCGTTGTCAATGGTAGAGTTTTTGCGAGACAAGAATATAGAATAAGAGAAGTGATGGCACAAGTAGTTGGGACTCTTCTTTAGGGAGAGAATTGGAAGAAGTGAGCAACGTGTTGGTGCAAGAATGGGCTTTCTCACCGTTGTACAGGAGAGGGGTAGCTGATAAGAGGACCAGGTCAGCGACCTTGAACACGTATCACACCATCAGCAGAGGAAGCATGGGACTCTATTGCAGGCTAAAAGCCTTAGCAGAATCTAATTCCAGGGAGCATAGCCAATTCAGGGGCAAAGTACTGTTCCCACCTGCCTTTGATTAATTCTAGTTTTATAGAACTGTTACCTTATCACTGTGCATAATAGTCGCACTTGTGGAATTGCAAACACATTGATAATTTACAGTAAGTGCCATTATCTGTAATGAAGGAAGGGATTAGTGGCAATAAAGAGGTGATGGGAACTGTTACCAGTATAACCAGTGAAAAGGGCCCTAAATAATAATTATTTTTGATTATTAGCCTGTGAGGAACAAGTTCCTTTTAATTTGGGTGGGCATTCATACTAAGAGCAGTAGCCACACTGTCCCTTGAACATTTCTTGGAGTTCAAAAAGAGATATAAAATGCAGCCCTCGTTCTTGTGGATCTCATACTTCAGCGGAGAGGAAGGACAAAGACCTGTGAGCTGTCAGTCGAGGCTACGGAGGGACCCAGGTGAAAGTCAGTTAGGAGTTAGAAGAAGCATCTTGCTGTATCCTGTAAAGGTCTGTAGAGGGGGAGGACTTGAGATGAGCTTTAGAGGCCAGGACAGACTAACAGATACCGAGCCAAGGCTCGGTGCAGCCCCTGTGATTGGGTACTGTGGCTTGCTTGTCTTTGTCATCCTCTCAGAAAAAGCTCGGTGCTTTGTTTTTAACGTTGCTTGTGCTTGAGTTACAGGTGGAGAGCATGCCTGTGACAGACATTAGGCACAGATAGCGTTTATGTTGTGGCAGAGAGCAGATAGTTGGATGGAATTACTGGGTTTCCATGAACAGGTGTTAATCAGAGAGATATCCTGAAAAAGTAGGCCAAGGAGTTTGGGGTTTATTTTAATATATTGAGAACCCACCGAACATATTTAAAACATTTATTTTATGGGAATTTCGCCTGCAGTGCCCATGAAGGCAAAAAGAAGGTGTCAGGTTCCCCAGAGACTGAAGTTACAGCTGTTTGAGAGGCAACATGGAGGTGCTGGGAATTGAACCTAGGCTTTCTGAAAGAGCAGTCAGCGCACATAACTGCTAAGCCAGCTCTCCAGCTGCATTAAGAGTTTAAAGTGGTGGAGGAGACCTTGAAATGCACATTTTTCATTAGATAAGTAAGGTTTAGGGACATTCTTGAAAGCATTTGCGTTTTTGTCTCTCCCGTCCCAAGATTTTCACATGCTGTACAAACTGGGCAAGCCCTCTGTCACTGAGCTATCCCCCCATCCTCCCCAAGCCAGCACTTCAAAAAGCACCTTTGGCTTCTCTGGCAAGTTCACTCTCTGGGGCTACCAGGCACCGCCTCCTGAACACCCTCACCTCCTGAACACACTCACCTCCTGAACATACTCACTTCCTGAATACACTTACCTCCTGAACACACTCACCTCCTGAACACGCTCACCTCCTGAACACGCTCACCTCCTGAACACGCTCACCTCCTGAACACGCTCACTCACCTCCTGAACACCCTCCTGAACACACTCACCTCCTGAATACACTCACCTCCTGAACACACTCACCTCCTGAACACCCTCCTGAACACACTCACCTCCTGAACACACTCACCTCCTGAACACACTCACCTCCTGAACACACTCACCTCCTGAATACCCTCCTGAACACACTCACCTCCTGAA